TCATTACAAACATTCCATGTCTGCCATGCAGATTTCTTTCCTTTCCCACGGAGGCCAGACACAACGTCACAGCCAGTGAAAGCATGAAAGTATAGGATCCCACTAGCTTTCTTAGGCCCTATCGCAGAAACTACATCATGAACTGGAATCCATCGATGACTGGCTCCTTGGCCAAAGGCAATCCACATGTTATCAAGACCAAGCTCCTGTAGTGATGGCAGTACAGATACTGCTATGACGACCACGTCAGTGTCATTGGCTTTGATGATGAGGGACTTGTTACCTTCCATTGCTGCATCCCTAGAATGCACAAATATTCTTGTCTGCTTCCTCATGACAGCATGGAGCCACAGCTTCTAGGGACTTCTCTATGTTGCTAATGGCACCTTCTCCCTTTGTCACAACCACCGTGCTTGTCGTCTGTGCTTCACACATTTTCTCCTCGAGAAAATGGAATAGTTCTGTTTTGTTTTTGTCATCTCGCAGAAAGCTTCTCCAGTTTTTGGGAGTCTTACTGGTTCCTGTAACTCTTCTCCTGATCCCCTGTCCTCGTTTCGACCTGGCTTCAGACTTCAGACTTGACTTTTTGTACACATCAAACACTACATCCACCCTATTGTATTTGGCACCATAGAATTTCACTTTGGGCAGGATGTCTTCTCTGGCAAAGGTATCAAAAGTCTTTGAGGTGCGTGGAGGCAGGGCATTGATCAGTGCTGAGCCCTCTATGATGATAGCATCTCCATGCGGTTCTCTCTCTGTAGCATTCACTTGTACTTGAAGAATTTCAGCCAGCTGTGACTTCTGACATGTATGAAGCTTTCCATTGTCACTGAGGGAGGCAGGAGCTGACTTCTCATGCTTGAAGGATTCTTGCAAGTCATACTGTCTGTTCTGACTGGAGATGAAGAGTTGCGAGAACAGCTGACAGTCATCTTTTAGTACCTGATCATGTTTGAAGAAGGAGGTGTTGATGTCTGGGTAATAAGTTCTATATACAGGAGAGAACACAAACACCTGTATAGTTTTGTAGGTTCGGTTTACTGGATAAGAGTATGTACACAGAGGTGGGCAGCACTGCTCCCTAGCTAGGGTCCTGGTCAACTACCATAGACGACGTATGGCAAGTGATACATTAGCAGCTTCCATACGTCGCCAGGCATTAGTTGCGTGAGGATATGTGTAGGAAGGTCGAGGTGTGGTTGCAGACGGAACGAAACGTCCAAAAGGCGTCGGTTGGCCAGTTGGGTGTGTTGCGGAGCAAAGTGACGGCAGCCCAACTGAAAGTTTACAAAATCAAAGGCGGGTGGCTGGAATCTGTGTTTCTTGATTGGATGGTAGAACAGACATTTACCTTCATTCTTTAGTCCCTCTAAGAATGACTGGAATTGCTCTTTTCCTCTGTCATGGTGTGTACCAACCATTTTAGCAATATCTGGATCTACAATGTTCTTTGTGTCTAACACCAGAAGGTCAGATGACTCTTCTTAGAAAGGGTTGCCCATCTCCCACAGCACCTTGGAATGTGCTTCCACCTTCTCAAAGAAAGATTTCTGCGCACTCAGGGTCTGCTCATTATGTCGGCTGCTGGTGGTGGTTCCATATTTTGCACCAGACGCAGCTTCATATCCAGCAACAAGACTACTCACTTCAGGTCCAGCCACCATCCACCTACGAAGTGCTGCTGGGTCCTCAGTCAACCCAATTGCTCCCCCATCGCCTTTAATCACTGCCTAGTCAGTGAGGAATGATATGTTGGTAGATTTTGTGACTGTTTCTAGGGCTTTGGATGGCACACAATGTACCGGGTAACCGCAATTCAGAGGATGTAAAAGCCGCTCGTGTAGCGTTAACTCAGTACATGTATGAGGATGGCATTCATCAACCTCGTGTGTACGGAGATGAAACCGGCTACAACCTGTATACGTGTAGGACCTACGGCCGGGCTCCACCGGGACAACGCGTCAACAGGATCGTTGCAGGACAGCGTGGCAAGCCTATTCTATTATAAAATTCATGTAACTCTGTGACTAAGGAAGTATTAACAAATTTCACGACCTCGCTGGAGTCTGTGCTAGGTCCTGAGGCTGCTGTGATTTTAATGGATAATGCACCACGTCATGCAGGAATTGAACAGGAATTTGAGGATCGTGTCATCATGAAACTTCCTCTACAATCACCTTTCCTAAATCCTATTGAAAATTGCTTCTCAATACTGAAAGCCACTGTGAAACAACAACTAAACAACATAGCTGATCGTTGAGATGCACGTGCTGCACGTCGACATGGGGTCACCTGTAGGATGTATCGAGAGAGACTTCTCCAACAGGTACTGAGGACAGCAGGCCCCAGTTAGTGATGTTCAGCAAACTACCAGCACTCCTAGACATACTTATGGAGGTGTATTGCACGAGAGGACATCTGGGATTGAAATCATCGTTGCTTATGACCCGTTTGCAGCTTTGTAAAGCCCCCGTCCACACGCTCGAGCAGTGACCGGCAGGCTTTGCCCGATAAACGGGCAAAGCCAGTGTGTTGTTGTACACACGGGGGTGGTTGGCGGCAGTCATAGTAGGGCGCCGGTAGCTAGTAGGTGGTTGGCAGTGGCGGGTGCGGTTCGATCACCATGGTGTGTCGCAGGAATAATCACCGGACAGTTAAAGCGAAGAGCATAGCGTTGTGTACTATAATAATTGCTGCTATGTGCAAGAAGAACCAAATGCAGAAAAGGGAATGGTGCAAAGAGTGGTTAGGTCGAAGAAAAGTATTGGGAAGTCATGCCACGATTTTACGTGAACCGCAAGTTGACATGAGAGAGAGAGAGAGAGAGAGAGAGAGAGAATGCATACGTACCTCATGATCAGAATATACCTCGGACATATCTTCAGTTGTGTGGGTATCCATGTTTGACACAGATTGTCGGATTGTGTCACCATCAATGAGGAAATGCAGTGCATCAAAGCACCATAATGTGGGAACGTAAATGTCCTCACTCCCAGCTCCAGACTTTGTTTTATTTCTGCATCTTTCTTAGTTCCCGTCTATGCTGATTTCGAATTGATTGAATTTTTCTCTTCACTTCACTTGTGGTAACTGAAGTCCCATTTCTCTTCATATCCTCTGTAATCGCATTGAGTGCCGCTGTACGCTTGTCCCTATCCCGGCACAAGTCCGCTTGACATTCCACAGGCAAGGGTGCTGGCGATAGAGTTCAATTAACAGCACGGTCTCTTCTCTAGACCAATGAATGTTTCTTTGATCTTTGGTGGACGGAGGGATAGACATGGTACAGTTTGTGACTGTTGTGGCGAGACTGACAGCCAGGGTCCCAGGGTCAACTTCGTTTGTCTGGCAGAGTCGTCCCTCCATATCCGGCAGCAAACCACCAGGCAGGCGGACCATGATTTCGCTCAACGACGGGCACGGGCACGGGCACTCCCCTGGTTTGCCCGATAACGGGCATTTAGCGAGTGCCCGCTGGGCACTGCTCGATCGTGTGGACGGGCCTTAATGCAAAGGGACCCGGGTTTTGCTGAATTAATTAATTGTTGAGTTTCTGTATATGTCACTTATATTCATACACTACTGTATATGCCATTCATTGCTTATGTGAAGTGTCAAATATATGTGTAATACTTATCCAATCTTTTATTTTTATTGTCAATACCCATAGTGCTTCGTCAATAATTTTGTGAGTATCTCCTCTGTCAAACTATTTTGTTACAGCGTCAATTCATTACAAGGAAAAGTCAAAGGATGAGATATAACGTCAAAGCCAAAGGTGAACTGTCCTTTATTTCGCTGAACTGTTCCAACTGCTATGTGACAAGGTGTATGTACCTACTATACTTATTAAGTTAGGTCTGTTTATAACTATTATTATTTATCATTTCCACCTCATTAGCCATTCAGATGGTTGTTCTTTTACTTTATTAAGATATTTATTGTTCGGTGTTAGTGCAGGAGTTAATACACTGAGGAACACCCTTCTCACATCTGCCCTGAGGATCGAACTCAGGAAGAATCCATAAGAGACAAGCACTCTATCCCTTTATAGTACCAGTCTGGGGAGTACTGATCCCAAATCTCCATCTCAGGGAATTCATTATTGACCTCATTTACCTAATAGCCACCCACTCGAGGTCCCATTCTGAGGGAAGGACTGTAGGATCCCCATAAGCTACGGGTTAATCCTAAGGTGAAATAAACTAGGGGACTAATCTTAATACTTAAACTTTTATACTTTATTATCTTCTATCATCTATGCCATTGGTCGGTTTGTTAGCCTATGGGCGGTCGGTTACATCTCTGTTACACACTGGATAGGCCGATAGAGACACATTTATAATAAACATAAGTACTGTTGATATTAAACTACATATTGTATTTGTACGAAAGTTTATTTTCCTCTTTTTACATATTTTAAAACATTACACATCAAGAAAATGTAATCTATTTACCATCAATTATTCCCAAAATATATAATTCAAATAATCACATAAGTTACCCTGTTTTTTTTTTAAATATCACCATTACTTTGAAGCCTCAGTAATTGGATATTGTTGTGATAATGCAATAGAAAGAGGTGATATCGAATTAACGAGGCTTCAGTGTATTTGGAGACTCCGTGAAACAGTCTCTTAAGTTGTAGAGCAAAGTCGACTATTCAGCAAACACTGTTATGTAATTTCTCATTTCTTTCACACTTTGAGTCTATCCTGGCGATCACCCGAAGATTAACCCACTAGTTTATAAGTTTCACCTTAAGATTAACCATCGTACTGCTACCTTGGGGATAGGTAAGGTAAGGTAAGGTAAAAGATGCAGTGCAGTGGTCTGTCTGAGTGCAGTGCGATGCAGGTACGGTCGCCAGTACGGGTACGGTCTTGATGCGATGGGCAAAAAGATGTGGAGTAAGGTAAGGTAAGGTAAGGTAAGGTAAGGTACGGTACGGTACGGTACGGTACGGTACGGTACGGTAAGGTAAGGTAAGGTAAGGTAAGGTACGGTACGGTACGGTACGGTACGGTACGGTAAGGTAAGGTAAGGTTAATATTAGGGTGGTTATTCTTCAGGTGAAATAAGCATGAAACTGAATCTTCATGTGATCCATTATTCCTCAATTCTTTCTCATTTGGGGAATTTTCTACCCCAACGTGTACAGTAATTCTGCATTTCCTTCCCAATATACTCTAAGGTCTTATCCCTCCCTCTGCCACAGGATGCAATGTAATACTGGGGTCTCCTCATCCACTGGTAAATGACTGAGGAACTATATCAGCCACATATTTAGAGGCTTTTTCAGGCAAGTTCTGCTCCGCTTCAGCAATAGTATTTTCATCATCCTGGATAACTGAGGGGGATTTTGGTACTTTAAAATAAGTATCAAGAATTTCGTTAATCAGGTTGTACACTTGTGGGTTTTCGTGTTGTAAGTTCGTCTCCATATATTCCACACCATTACACTCTTCTATCATCTCTGCTATGCTATTCACGTCGTCAGATTTCTGAAATGTAAAACAGTATATATCAGGTGCCTTTAAGAGAGCTCAGGCTCAACCGTGACAATATTGTTATTATTGTCGACTCTGTATCTGTATTCTTCTGGCTAAATAAATTGTTTCAGGATCACTATCAATACATATCATCTTCCAAATGAATAGAGGAAATAAAAAATGAGAAGCTAATATAAATAAGTAAGTATACCATACACTTGCTATAGGCCACTTAGATTAATGCATCATTGTTTGGTTCCCTCAAAATTCTCAACGAAGAGGAACAGTGATAATGATGAGAGATTAATGTGAAGAGAATAGAGTGAGACACACATGTTACACCCTTAATTGAGTGAGGCACACATGTTACACCCTTAATAGAGTGAGGCACACATGTTACACCCTTAATAGAGTGAGGCACACATGTTACACCCTTAATAGAGTGAGGCACACATGTTACACCCTTAATAGAGTGAGGCACACATGTTACACCCTTAATAGAGTGAGGCACACATGTTACACCCTTAATAGAGTGAGGCACACATGTTACACCCTTAATAGAGTGAGGCACACATGTTACACCCTTAATAGAGTGAGGCACACATGTTACACCCTTAATAGAGTGAGGCACACATGTTACACCCTTAATAGAGTGAGGCACACATGTTACACCCTTAATAGAGTGAGGCACACATGTTACACCCTTAGCCAAGTGGGGAGCACACATATGTAGAGTGAGGCACACATGTTACACCTTAATAGAGTGAGGGCACACATGTTACACCCTTAATGAAATTGAGGCACACATGTTACACCCTTAATAAGTGAGGCACACATTACACCCTTAATAGAGTAAAGAGGCACACATGTTACACCCTTAATAGAGTGAGGCACACATGTTACACCCTTAATAGAGTGAGGCACACATGTTACACCCTTAATAGAGTGAGGCACACATGTTACACCCTTAATAGAGTGAGGCACACATGTTACACCCTTAATAGAGTGAGGCACACATGTTACACCCTTAATAGAGTGAGGCACACATGTTACACCCTTAATAGAGTGAGGCACACATGTTACACCCTTAATAGAGTGAGGCACACATGTTACACCCTTAATTTACCCAACTATCCCCATCCAGTTGCTACCCAAAGATGATAGAATAAAACAAAGGATAATAGTGCTTAGTTTACATTCAATATTCTGTATATATGAGTGACAGATCAAAGTTATGGCTGTATGACTGCAATGAGACTAGACTGTACAATATTTGTTCTCATGAAGCAATTATGAGGAGAAAATAATCAACTATACCTTTACCTAAGGCAACACATCTAAAGCATAACTAAAATAAGTCATAATAACAACTACAACACTGCACAAATATTTCTTAAAAAATAATAAGTAATAATTAACCTTTACCTCCAGAATGTTTTTGATCCCTTCAGCAGCTGCCAGCACAACTTGCTGGTCTAGTGAGGATAACGTATCCACCAGCACCGTCACCCCACCAACAGACACCAACGCCTCAATGTGTTCCTTTGTTCCTGCTTGTGTCATGTTTGAGAATCCCCAACTAATCTCCTTCTTCACAATGAAATCAAACTGTAGAATAAAATGTATAGTTCATCATTAATCATTTGTGTATGGGGTGCCTCTCTGCTGAATAAAATGGCCGGGAGTTAGTTTAATAGAGTAGTGAAGGGCTTACGGGAGGTAGTCTATTAACGAATCATCACGAAAGAGAAAAAAAAATCTAACCAGAAAAAATGTGTATATTGAGATATGTTTAATGGAGGGTGGAGTTCTTGGACATGTGCGTGTATCTTACAACTGTGTTCTGGGTTCGAATTCTAGCCTTGGACTGATGGTAGATGGTGTTATCGAGCGTGACCCTATCAATTATAGATTTCCTCCAGGTACTACAGTTTCCTCCTGTACTAAAACTGGACCAAGTAGGATGGCCTTCACTACCAAACATGCCAGATTTTCTCCAGGTACTAAAGTCTCCTGTACTAACCCTGGACAATATAGTTAATAACAAAATGACAAAGAACTGACCAACCGCCCGAACGGCTTGTGAGCTGATAAGTGGCGAACTGATAAATCAATTACAACAGGAAGTTGGTGATCTCACACAATGCAGGGCTGTATAAGTAAGACATGCGAGCAGTACATGACAGACGATAGACTTGAAACCTTGTTGACCTCAGCCATTGACTAAGTAACTCCTGTGATAGACGGGTCAAAATATGAAAAAATGGATAACCCCTCAAAAAAAAATTAAAGAAATTGTTTTATGGTGTTTTTTGTACTATCAGGTATAGTGCAAAATTGGAGCATCGGAAAGTGTAAATACTGTATATGACATAATTTCAGAGGTTTTAACAAATGGTAAATATGAAATTTTCTCTCCATATTTTAAATAGGATGGTACCCAAAATAATTCCTATATCTTGGATTGAATATCAGAAGTTACATCACCGTGACATCATAGGTGACGTCATGATGTAGTTGTCATATTTCATGATGTATTTGGTATATTTTTAGGATTATGCCAATTTATACCAATATTAATAAATTGTTACTAATGTGTACGTGATTTATTTGCAGTAGAGGAAGAAACGGTGAAACGAATGGAAGGACTGCTTGTGTCTTCATACCCGCTCAAGAGAAATACCAAGGTCAGGACATTTGCATCAGCCAAGGTTGTAAAAGTTAGTGAGGATCGTACCATGTTGTCTCAGAGATTCCTTGTGGTATATCAGTCTGGTGATTTTCGCCTAGATCCGGTTATAGACTACGAACTTTGCCCCTACCCTCTATCATTATTTGAAGCAAAGTATTTTATGTGCAAAGCAAATAAGCGACCATTGGCAGAAGCAATACGGAACTCTGCATCTGTTGAACTGGACAGAGGGACATAAATACTGCAATTGCGGAGGACTACACGTTGTTTACGCTAAATCACTATGGCCATGCAACAGTCGTACTTGATGGTTACGGGGGAGGACCAAGCGTCAAGGACAACACCCATCAGTCGACGAAGAGTCAAAACACCATATCCGACACAACAAAGTTTGTCTAGCGAAAGGAGGACTCCCTCTCGAATGACATCAACAAGCAGGGAGATTATCATACACCATAGGGAGATTATCATACACCATAGGGAGATTATCATACACCATAGGGAGATTATCATACACCATAGGGAGATTATCACACATCATAGGGAGATTATCATACACCATAGGGAGATTATCATACACCATAGGGAGATTATCATACACCATAGGGAGATTATCATACATCATAGGGAGATTATCATACACCATAGGGAGATTATCATACACCATAGGGAGATTATCATACACCATAGGGAGATTATCACACATCATAGGGAGATTATCATACATCATAGGGAGATTATCACACATCATAGGGAGATTATCATACACCATAGGGAGATTATCACACATCATAGGGAGATTATCATACATCATAGGGAGATTATCATACATCATAGGGAGATTATCACACATCATAGGGAGATTATCATACATCATGGGAGATTATCATACACCATAAATTATCATACACCATAGGGAGATTATCATACACCATAGGGAGATTATCATACACCATAGGAATTATCATACACCATAGGGATATTATCATACACCATAGGAAGTTATCATACACCATGAGGAGATTATCCTTTTACCATGGGGAGATTATCATACCATAGGGGAGATTATCATACACCATAGGGATATTATCATGTACACACCATGGGAATTATCCATACACACCATGGGGAGATTATCATACCATAGGGAGATTATCATACACCATAGGAGATTATCATACACCATAGGAATTATCATACACCATAGGGAAGTTATCATACACCATGGGGAATTATCATACACCATAGGGAGATTATCATACACCATAGGAGATTATCATACACCATAGGGGAGATTATCATGTACACATCATAGAGGAGATATCATACACACCATGGGGAAGTTATCATACACCATAGGAGATTATCATACCATAGGGAGATTATCGCTTCCATAGAATTATCGCCCACCATAGGGATATTATCATACACCATAGGGAGATTATCATACACCATAGGGAGATTATCATACACCATAGGGAGATTATCATACACCATAGGGAGATTATCATACACCATAGGGATATTATCATACACCATAGGGAGATTATCATACACCATAGGGAGATTATCATACACCATAGGGAGATTATCATACACCATAGGGAGATTATCATACACCATAGGGAGATTATCACACACCATAGGGAGATTATCATACACCATAGGGAGATTATCACACATCATAGGGAGATTATCATACATCATAGGGAGATTATCACACATCATAGGGAGATTATCATACACCATAGGGAGATTATCATACACCATAGGGAGATTATCATACACCATAGGGAGATTATCACACATCATAGGGAGATTATCATACATCATAGGGAGATTATCACACATCATAGGGAGATTATCATACACCATAGGGAGATTATCACACATCATAGGGAGATTATCATACATCATAGGGAGATTATCATACATCATAGGGAGATTATCACACATCATAGGGAGATTATCATACATCATAGGGAGATTATCATACACCATAGGGAGATTATCATACACCATAGGGAGATTATCATACATCATAGGGAGATTATCATACACCATAGGGAGATTATCATACACCATAGGGAGATTATCATACACCATAGGGAGATTATCATACACCATAGGGAGATTATCATACACCATAGGGAGATTATCATACACCATAGGGAGATTATCATACACCATAGGGAGATTATCATACACCATAGGGAGATTATCATACACCATAGGGAGATTATCATACACCATAGGGAGATTATCACACATCATAGGGAGATTATCACACATCATAGGGAGATTATCACACATCATAGGGAGATTATCATACACCATAGGGAGATTATCATACATCATAGGGAGATTATCACACATCATAGGGAGATTATCATACATCATAGCTGTGTTTTAGCTTCACTTAGTTGTTCGTGTGCAGGAACTTTAATTAACGGTTGTCCTCTTGTTTCTTTATTCACTTGTAGTTCATCATCAGTTACTGGGGACCCATTATACTGTAAGGAGATATCTGCTTAATTAAATTTATTAAAGTAAAAGACTTGTTATGAAGTGATGTGTCTTACCCTTATTTATAACTATATATACCGTACGATTACAAACAGAGCCGGCCTTAGGAGGTGCGGGGCCCAGTTGGGAACAATTTTGGTGGGCCCCAGGTTCCCAGCCAAGGTCTGTAGAATCATAGAAATATAAATAAGTCTATTATAGACTTTATATCTCTATGGTAGAATGGAAAGTAATCAAAATGTGCGCTTAAAAAGTGCATGCGAGTTAATGGACCAAACAGATCTATGCCACAAGTAACAAACAAAATGTAGATCACCTCTGAAAAGTACATAGTTACACTACACTTGTTTTAGTGACTGTGAAATGATTTATTTAAAATATTTATTTATTTTTGGTCAGAAAAAAAATCAGAATTTAAGTGAATTGTTGGAAACAAATGATATTTTTGGGGTTTCTATTAACATTCATAAATTATAAACGAGTCATAATATTATTGCCTTTTGTTATGAGAAAGTTATCTTTCTTGCTCTTTTCTCTGCAAAGTCTTTTAGAATTTTGTCTAAGTTTAAACTCCTGCTAATTTCAGATTCAATGAACATATTTGCCAAACTGTTCAAACGTTCTTGGTGAATTGATGATCTCAAGTAAGTTTTGATCAGTTTCAGCTTGGAAAAACTCCTTTCTCCAGATGCTATATACTGCAGTGTGTTGTTGTGTACTTGACAGGCCCAGAGTAGATTACTCTAGCGCGGGGCCCCCTTAGGCGCGGGGCCCCCTTAGGCGCGGGGCCCCCTTAGGCGCGGGGCCCCCTTTGGCCGACCCTGATTACAAACACCCATCAACCTTATCACACCCAGTGCTGTTGTTGGCGGCCCATGAGAGATGCCACACACACACACCACACACACCACACACCACACACACACCACCACACACACCACACACACACACACACACACACACCACACCACACACACACACACACACACACACACACACCACACCACACACCACACCACACCAACCACACACACACACACCACACCACACCACACACACACACCACACACACCACACACACACCACACCACCACACACACACCACACCACACACACCACACACCACACACACACACCACACACACACCACACCACACACCACCACACCACCACACACCACACACACACCACACCACACACACCACACCACACCACCACACACACACACACACCACACCACACACCACACACACACCACCACCACCACACACACCACACCACACACACCACCACACACCACACCACACACCAGCCACACCACACACCACACACACACCACACCCACACCACACACCACCACACACACACACACCACACCACACCAACCACCACACACACCACACCACACACACCACACACACACACACACACACACCCACACACCACACCACACACCACACCCACACCACACACACCACCACACCACACACACACACACCACACACACACCACACACACACACCACCACCACCACCACACCACACACCACACACACCACACACCACACACACACACACACACACACCACACACACACACACACACACACACACACCACACCACCACACACCACCACACCACACACACCACCACCACACCACACACCACACCACACCACACACACACACACACACACCACACACACACCACACACACACCACACACACACACACACACACACACACCACACACACCACACACACACACCACACACACACACACACACACACACACACACACACACACACACACACACACACACACACACACACACCACACCACACACACCACACACACACACACACACCACACACACCACACCACACACACACACACACACCACACACACACACACACACACCACACCACACCACACACACACACACACCACACACACACACCACACCACACACACCACACACACACCACACACACATCCACACACACTACATCCTTGACTACCGAGGGTAAGGCAATACCTGGAGCTCCTCTCGGAGCAGCCAGGTCAACTGTTAAGTTGGCCCATACCAACCCCCTCCCCTGAACCCTCCTCCCCACCGGAATATCAACAAGTTCTCGCCAGAAGTTACAATTTCATTTAGGAAAGGAACGGAACCAGTGTTAAACAGAGGTGAACAGTGGTGAACAGTGCTTAAGTCAGTGGGAACAACTCAACAGTAACAGTCGTACCCAAGTTAACCTTCACACAGTGAGGTCCCAGGTACCCAGTGATAACGGCCCGTGAGACCCAACAAGAACCAGCGATGTGTTAATCCGTCTACGATAGGAAGGCCTAAGACCAAACCTCACTCATATAACACCATCTGTGAGGGAATTACTACACCGCATGTCCCTCATAACACCATATGTGAGGGAATTACTACACCACGTCAGGCCCCTCATAACACCATCTGTGAGGGAATTACTACACCACGTGAGGTCCCTCATAACACCATCTGTGAGGGAATTGCTACACCATGTCAGGCCCCTCATAACACCATCTGTGAGGGAATTACTACACCACGTGAGGTCCCTCATAACACCATCTGTGAGGTAATTACTGCACCACGTGAGGTCCCTCATAACACCATCTGTGAGGGAATTACTACACCACGTGATGCCCCTCCTAACACCATCTGGGAGGGAGTTACTACTCTACGAGTTTGCTGTTCAACACCTACATTAATCTGTATGTTCCTTTACCTTTCTCTAATGAAGGCTTTTGTTAAACCACCAATGTATGTAATAAGTCATTTATGTCCAATGTATATTTTCAGCCTTCGGGCTGCAGAACTTTTTCAATAAACCGTCAATTATTATTATTTATTTTTATTATTACACACACACGGTAGCCACACAGGGCCCAACAGGTCAATTTTCAAGTTCCCTCATAATGGCTGGCTATCATGGGCATAGGCATGCGTGGGCATGGGTGTGGCCGTGTGGGTGTCCCTTTTATTACATAGGGAGATTATCATTTAAACCCTAAAACACTTGTCCTAGTGCAGACCAAGAGTTAAACTTACCTTCTGACTTGCCTCCACCATTACAGGCAAGAGGTCTGCATCGATCACCATCTGTATCTGATCAAAAGGGCCGGCGAGGATATTGGACACAGCCCAGGCTGTGTCCTTCTGGATGTTTGTGGGGCTGTTGGTGGTCAGGAGTGTACGGGAGATGGGCAGGATTCCAGCCTCCAGGACAACTTGTGTCTGGAAATACATTAACTCTAAAAGCTATAATGGAGACGGACAAACAGAGGGTTGCTACAGGGTGGTTAATCTTCAGGTGAAATTTGCTGGAGTGTCTAATATTCAACTGAAATAAGGTGGGATATCTTAACTTCAGGTGAAATAAGATAGGATGTCTAATCTTTAGGTGATTCACAGACTACCTTCTATATTATCTAAAATAAGTGTTACCATATGACACTACCTGAGCATCAGTACCACTGGTGATGGAGCCAAGGGTCCTCAGTGCTGGTATCATTTCCCGCCTCTCACCAGACTGAAGGTATTGGAGCAGCATAGGAACAAGGCCAACATCTAACACATCCTGGATATACTCGTTGCCCAAGTCAGTGTAGTAGCTGGTGGCCCAAAGAGCATCAACTAGTGAGACGAAATATGTTCAAGATAAGTAGAGGAAGACGTACGAGACGGAAGAATGTAATGAATGAAATGATGGCTGATGTAAGTCATTCACCTTTTATTTATTTATTTTCATTTATCATTTCACCACTCAGCGGATTACTAGTCTTTTGGGCGGTTGGTCTGTTCTTTGTTCCTTTGTGAGGATCTACAGTATATTGTCCAGACTCAGTGTTAGTCTGCCTGGTGGTGTAACAGTAGGACCCTTGCCTCTCGCCACTGTTCCTTGGGTTCAATCGATGGGTTGGACGTGAGAAGAGTGTAACCAATGGGACACTACGAAACAAAGAATAGACCAACTGTCCAAATGATTTGTAACTTCAGGAATAAGTCTTCGAAATTATCAATGAAAAATTTTATGAGATTAACAATAATATCCCTATTATTCGTAAGGCATCCTGGTTATTTTTCCCCTTTAACGCCTTTTCCCACATGAGACACAGTCACTATAATTGGCAGCAACAAACATTAATGCTCCAATTTTTATCACGGATGCAATGATCTAGATGTTCCCTTTACATATGAAGGCTTCAAGTTAACCCTCTGCACCGCCCCAACATCACTTCACGAAACCCAGAATTACAATCCTCATAACTCACAACCCGACGCATTAGTTATATTCAAGTCCACATATCTCTAGAATTATTACTCCTTTAGAACAACATAACCCACATCTACATATACTACAAAGGTTCTTCACAGTCTACATCCACCGAGCAATCCCAGTGACTCAAACTCCCATGGCCTGCAATCACAAGGTCAGTACTGTATGTTAATTCCCAAAAGAACTACAATTTCTAAAGTCAATACCGCTACATCCATATCCACCATTATCCATTAGAGAAATTAACCCCACTACAGTGATTATCCCATAGCTCACACGTCGTCCACTCACCACGAACAACCATGTCAGGGTGGAGTATAAGGTGATCCTTCAGGCTTTTGAGGACGAGTAACTGTTCCTCCCTTCCCATCTTGGGGGCTTTACTACGGAACAGGTTGGATACAGCCCAGGCTATGTTACGGGTTAAGGAGACCTGCCGAGTAGATAAAAAGAAATAATGATGGATATTCAGTAAAATAAACATACAAGTTTATATTGATTCAGTGAGTATATAGTCAGTGTAGGTCTTCTGACTATCCAATAGAATTGAACATCTTTTCATAAATTAGTGAAAGAAGCAGCAACTTTCACAAAGTTCTGGTGAACTGACTGACAATAACAACTGGATGAACTTAGGTTGTACCACATGTTCAATGAAACACCTGAAGGGCTTGTTGTTCTAACCTTTGTGTTCGTATTATTATTATTATTATTCGTCTGATAGAACATCCTCACATTCACAAGGATATAAATATAAACTTTATTAAATATAACTAAAATGTCTCCAGTATAAACAACAATCAAAACAATAATGATGGTCAATTAACACTAAGTAAATATAAAACAATAAAAAATTTGAAATAATAGATATGATGTCGCTGTAAGCCTGTGAAGAGCTGAAACAAGGATGGATGGGTGATGAGAGCTTGGACACCCTTCCAGGCAACACGGCCACAACAGATGATGGAGTACGTAGAGTTACAGGTGTTATATAAGTTACAGAATCTATACGTATATTCATCAAGGGAGATACTTCCACTAGTAGTGTGCCACCTCTCACATGACAGAGGGCGCCGCAGACAGAGTGGGGCAAGATCGGCTGAGTAGTTACGAGTATATCAGTTAACATCGCCTCTCATCATGAGGAAGTGGGTTAACCACATCGGTCAGAGTCGAGGAACCAAGTGACCAGCCTATAGTCAGTGCATGCGCAACAACTAGATACAATCAGAACATGCGCAACAACTACAGTAGATACAATCAGAACATGCGCAATAGCTAGATACAATCAGAACATGAAGGTAGTAGGTAGTAAGCAGCTACCAAACAGGGAGGTACTACCGCCTGGGAAGATGTTGGAAACATAATGTGTTGTCTAATGTTGTCTCATGTGTTGGGACCAAGTCCTAGGTTACTTATCTGACTTTCTGCCTCATTTACATACATCTGCTTGGTCTCAATTGTTTCTCTTACTTTTGACAACACAACAAACATAACTTTTCTAACTCTTGATCTGTTTTATTCTTTCTATTCTTTTCTTCTCCTATGATGTCAGTTGACAATAATATTAAAGTGGGGCCCTCTGGGATGGGTCCCACTGGTCGGGAAGGTTGTGGACCCCAGGGACGACCTGATCATCATCAAGCTACTGGGGCCTCAACTGACGTCACAGCGGTTGCTGGAGGATCGGCTTTTTTCACACTTCATTTTTCCAACATTCGCGGTCCGACCCAGGTGGAGCTGAGGCACTCTCTCTTTCATTACTTAATGATCTGGAACAAATAATTAAACACCCTACACGTGTTCCTCATCGACACGATCAACTTACTAACATTCTTGATCTTTGTTTTACCTCTAACCCCTCACACTATTCATACTCAAACTGGGCACGACCACCTCCCCCACCCTCCTCTAATCGTCAACTATGGCACTATCGGAGGACAAGCTGGCAATCCTTGCGAGAATTCTTCTCCAACTTTCCCTGGGTTGAATGTTGCTTTTCCACTCTGGACGCCTCGGTATGTGCTGACAGCATTGCTGGGGTTATACTCGGTGGTGAGATTATTTTTTCGTGAGGCCAAGCAGAATTTTATAAAAAGAAAGACCAGAAGGATTTATCATTCTGGTCCTTAACCAAAAACATCTAAAATAACTTCTGCCCTCCCTCTTTTCCTCCTCTCTTCCGTCCCAATAAATCTATAGCCAACTCTCCCCCCTGATAGAGTCAATCTCTGGCACCTTATTCTCCTCTAATTCCACCTTAGACGATTCCCACTCTACCCCTTCTACCCCTGCACCTCCTACTGAACCTATGCACTTTCCTATAATCTCCACTCGCAGGGTTGCCGGTGTGTTATCCAGGTTGGATGTGAGTAAGACACATGGACCGGACGGAATACCCCCTCGTGTTCTGAGGGAGTGTGCTGAAGCCCTGGCCCCTGTGCTTGCTCGCCTCTTTCGCCTTTGCCTCAAAACCCAAACTTTTCCTTCTTCTTGGAAGCATGCCTTGGTTCAGCCCATCCCGAAGAAGGGTGACCATTCAAATCCCTCTAACTATCGCCCCATTGCCCTAACTTCATCCCTCTCTAAGATTTTCGAAACTATCTTAAACTCCCATTTTCTCCGTCACCTTGAACGCCTTTCTCTTTTGTCGGACCACCAGTATGGCTTTCGCCAGGCGAGATCTACTGGTGATCTGCTCTCCTATTGCACCCATCTTTGGTCATCCTCTCTTACGGATTATGGGGAAACTTTCGTCGTGGCCCTCAACATCTCCAAAGCCTTTGACAGGGTATGGCACAAGTCTTTGCTATCTAAACTTCCCTCTTTTGGTTTCTCTCCCCCACTTTGTTCTCTCATCTCTAGCTTCCTTGAGAACCGATCCATGGCAGTTGTTGTCGAGGGATCGCTCTCTCGCTCTTTCTCTACCAATAGTGGCGTCCCACAGGGTTCTGTTCTTTCACCAACTCTCTTTCTTCTTTTTATCAATGATTTACTTCACACTACAACTAATTCTATCCATTCTTACGGCGATGATTCTACTCTTCACTTTTCCTCACATTTTCCCCTTCCTCCTAACTCTCAAACTAGATCTGTTTCTAGAACTGATATCATTACTTCTATCAACGCGGATCTGTGCAGCATCTCTGAATGGGGAGATACAAACTTGGTTAAATTCAATAGTAACAAAACTCAATATTTACCAATTACACTTTGTAAAGTAGACGATCTCCCACCAATTACATTTCAGGACGCTATCATCCCCCCAAATTCTGAAATAAATATGTTAGGCCTCACCATTTCCTCCAATATGTAAAGGAAATCACACATCCTTAGTATAACTAAAGCTGCCTCCCGAAAGCTGGGAATGCTGTACAGATGCCGCAGCTACTTCACTCCTGAGCAGTTGCTCCAAGTATATAAGGGATTCATTCGTCCTAACTTGGAGTACTGCTCTCATATCTGGGGTGGCTCTTCTTCGGTCCAACTGTTAGATAGGGTGGAATCAAAGGCATTTCGTCTTATTAACTCTCCTCCTTTAGTCGACAATCTCTCTCCCCTTTCTCTTCGCCGCAATGTTGCTTCACTCTCTCTCTTTTACAGGTACTTTAACGGGCAATGTTCAGGGGATTTGGCATCCTGTGTACCGCCGGTAAGGCCGTGGGTTCGTAACACACGTCTTGCCCGCGGTGCCCACCATTTCTCTGTGGATATCGGTCACACGAGAATAACCCGTTATAGTACCTCCTTCTTTCCTCACACAGCCAAACTGTGGAATGCTTTGCTTTCTTCTGTGTTCCATGCTCTTACAATCTGTCTCACTTTAAAAAGCTGGTTTTCCGGCATCTTCGTGGTGTAGATTAATACAGTATAACCTTTTTTTCTATATTTTCAATTTCTTTCCGTTCTTTTTTTTCGCCCCCAGGCTCCGTTGTGGGTCGTTTGACCTGTGCCCGGGTTGGCTAATTCCCGTAAAAAAAAAAAAAAAAATTGAAGCATCGAAAATCTATACAAAGATTTATGCTATTGTTCGGCTTTTTGACAAGAACTATGGGGAGCAATAGGGCGAGTCAGATGGTTCTATCACACCTAATTCTAGCATAATGTTAACTTCCTCATCAAGAGTTTTCAGAAGGTGATAAGGGATGGGATTGAGTCTCTCGTGAACTGGCACGTCAGTGGTTAGTTTAATTTCGTGAAGGAGTGTTCGGATTTTGTCCCAGAGTATCTGAAAATACATCATGATAATCTTCTATAAGCCTGGTCAGATCTCTTACTTTGTCCTGCCCTAAGTCTGGATTTATATTCACATGGCAAACAGAACACTTACCAATTACCTTAATATCACAAGGAGAAATATCATCTCTTCTATCCTCGTCAACAACACACAGGTAACACGTGTCTGCTGCCGTAGGGGAATCATTTATCCGCCTACAAAATTTCTTTAATATATTGATATGAAAAACTTTACTCTGGAACCTACTTTCATGCAATAGTCAGCCCCGTTGTCATGACATTTAATGGCAGGATAAGGACTTTTCCATTGCAAGGTTAACTTATTTTGAGAAGAAGGAAGTAAAATAAATACTTCGTCTCCCACCTTCAATCTTCTTCCTCTAGCACTTCTTTCAAAATATTTCTTATACTCTTTACTACTGACTCCCTTAGTCGTGTTCTCAGGTCAAGGACACATTGATAGGTTGACGTCAGCTCTTCTCCCGAGTCTTCTTTTGTCCACAAGTCATGCAAGATAATGAGGGGGGCGGGGGAGGTGGGGCTCGACATTGACGCCCATAAAATAATTAAAAGGGAGAAAATTGTAAGACGTCATGCGTAATCTCTCTAAAGGCAAACAGAACTGATGGAATATACCTGTCCCATACCTAGACTTTTCTACACAGAGCTTCTTTAACGTTGCCTTAAGGACACTGTGAAACCTTTCAACTGTCCCGTTACACCAAGCATGATGAGGAATTGTAGTTAAAACTTGATGAACAGAAAGCGATTAACTTTAACTGTCATATCTGAGATGAATTGAGAACCTGAATCCTCAAGAATTTCACGTGGGATACCAACTCGTGCAAATGTGGTAACTAAACTCACGGCAATGGTCGCTGGATTAATGTTTTTAAGGGGAACTTTATCAGGGAATCTGGCTGCATTATCAGTTAAAGTTAGAGTATATTTATTCTTGTTGTCTGAACAAGGTGATATGGGGCCAACAATGTCAATAGCAGCCCTGGAAAAAGGTTCAGATGCTATGGACCTGAGAACCATGGGACTTCTCTCACAGTACCTTTGGGAGAAGCTTTCTGACACACATGACGGGACCTACAATATATATTAATATCTTCTCCTGCTACAGGCCAAACGAATTTCCTAAATATTTCATCAGTAGTCTTTCTATGTGAGATATGACCTGCAGCAGTTGAATTATGTGCAGTAAACAAAACTAAAGATCTAAGTTTCTTTGGTATAACAAGTTGCTTCTTACCAATATCAAAATCGTTCTTGCCTTTGAGGACATTCCTTTTGAGCTACAATAAGGTCTTGCTTACTAACACCCAAAACATCAAAAGTGGGAGTTATCATATCTTTTATTTCTTTGGTTTCCTTTTGCTTAGATGATGCCCTAGTCTGAACAATGAACACTTTGTTACTTTCACCCTGCATGTCTAGTAAATGAACAGACGGAAGAATTTACACTTTATAAAGCATCTGACTTGGGGACAATAGTTAACCATCCTACTTCTTTTATGCTTTGCTGGGATAAGTTCATCTTTTAATCAGTACTGTGGAGCATCTAGTATCAAGCATGACTGTACCAAGTCTATTGCATACACTTGCTTCAGGGTCTGTCAAAAAGGTCATAAAGACACTTAAGAATTAATGGCAAAGTTACTCTTAGTTTCCTTTACTTTAATCTTAGGTTTGATGCCTTTCAATTCGGGACAATTGGGCCTTATATGTCCTGAGTTATGACAAAAATGATAGATGGCATTTGATTTGCAGAATAAGGTATAATTGCTACTACTTTGGGCGTCAACCTTAGTGGGTACTTCTCTCGATCACTAAGTGTGACCCACCGGTCTAAACACTGTCCTAACCGGGCTAAGGTCTGTACATACGTTTCATCGTTGGATATTTTAGCCTCCCCAACTTTCCTCCTGTAAGACTCTGCATCAATAGAATATGCTCGTAGCAATGATTCTTTTAAGCTGATCATAATCCTCAATTACCTCTTTGGGTAAGCTGACATACATTTTAAAAGCTTTAACCTTCCATGATGTACTTAGTTAAATATGATAGTCTGCCCTCCGCCATCCATGAAGCTCGACAAGATGTTCAAACCTCAAAAGATAGGAATCTGTATTGTCCTGACCATCAGTACATGTAGGTAATCTAAAACATTTGTATGACTCATTATCAGAAGCACTACTGGTATGACTTGACCAATCTCGTGCTACAACTAATTCATTTTCCCTTTGTTTTCCTGCTTCTTTAATTTCTCTTCCTTGGATTAATTTATATATTTTTCTGTTTTCTTCTCTCCCAATTAACTTATTACACCTATATTTTTCTTTTCAATTAGCAGGTTTAAAATATCAGGAGTTAAACCCCCTTCTTTCCCAGTCTGAAAATCCCAGCAAGATTAAAAGATGACATAAAATGGAACTAATGAATATGAAATTATGAAATGACTCAACATACAAATGAACGAAAATATTGTTGAGAGATGTATAAATAAATTCAACTACTTTCAAGATTGATGGACAAAATCACTTAACCCGTTTGATCTGAGACACGGTCCAAATGAACAACTTACGACTGATCCACTAATTGTGACACTTATACTATTTTCAAGATTGCTAGACTTTACTGCATTTGTTGACTTTTTTCTACTTTCATTGCCTGTTTCCTTCTCACCCGGAGTGCCTCATACTGTATTTGACTTTTATTCGCCACTGATGGACCCGTTACCGGAATATCTGGTGAAATGAGAGACAGCAGCGGATTGATGACGCCAGCAGCTACCACTTCATTCCTGCAATCTGCAGAATCGCCCACTATGTTTCCGATGGCCCACACCGCCTGTTCCTGGACCTCACGACTACTCTCCTCCCGAAGTAGCTGTACCAGGGGCTTGATAAACCCTTGTTCTGTGGGTGGTGAGAAAGGGTTATGGAAAGTGGGTAAGAAATGGAGACTTGATTATGTTACTGTAACCTTCATCTCGTTAATCAAATTTCCTTTCATTATTTGGATCATGTAAAGGTTAAATAGATACTTACCTGATGATTAAACACTGCAATACTACCTTGGGGGATAGGTTAGTATTAGGTAGTTAATGTTAAAGTATAATAAACTGGGTGCTAATTCTAACATAACCTAACCCAACAAGCCAGCATTCACCAAATACTGCTCTGCGAATCATAATGACAGATATTATGTAATGTTGACCTGAGACAAACTTCACGCACTCTGACTTCATATTCTTAACCCCTTGAGCTCGGGATCTCCTCTGAACCGAATGAAATTATCTGGCGTTAGTTAAAATAATTATTAAAAGTGGTGTTCCTGTCATGAAGGTGTAGTGGTGTCCCTGTCATGAAGGTGTAGTGGTGTTCCTGTCATGAAGGTGTAGTGGTGTTCCTGTCATGAAGGTGTAGTGGTGTTCCTGTCATGAAGGTGTAGTGGTGTTCCTGTCATGAAGGTGTAGTGGTGTCCCTGTCATGAAGGTGTAGTGGTGTTCCTGTCATGAAGGTGTAGTGGTGTTCCTGTCATGAAGGTGTAGTGGTGTTCCTGTCATGAAGGTGTAGTGGTGTTCCTGTCATGAAGGTGTAGTGGTGTTCCTGTCATGAAGGTGTAGTGGTGTTCCTGTCATGAAGGTGTAGTGGTGTTCCTGTCATGAAGGTGTAGTGGTGTTCCTGTCATGAAGGTGTAGTGGTGTTCCTGTCATGAAGGTGTAGTGGTGTTCCTGTCATGAAGGTGTAGTGGTGTTTAGAAGGTTTTAGTGGTGTTCCTGTCATGAAGGTTTTAGTGGTGTTCCTGTCATGAAGGTGTAGTGGTGTTCCTGTCATGAAGGTGTAGTGGTGTTCCTGTCATGAAGGTGTAGTGGTGTTCCTGTCATGAAGGTGTAGTGGTGTTCCTGTCATGAAGGTGTAGTGGTGTTCCTGTTATGAAGGTTTTAGTGGTGTTCCTGTCATGAAGGTTTTAGTGGTGTTCCTGTCATGAAGGTGTAGTGGTGTTCCTGTCATGAAGGTGTAGTGGTGTTCCTGTCATGAAGGTGTAGTGGTGTTCCTGTCATGAAGGTGTAGCGGTGTCTCTGTCTTAATGGCGTAGTGAAGGCGTTCCAAAGAATATTAAAACTTTCATGCTAAAAATAAGTTAGTAAATACTGAATTTCTCTTCAGGCATTTTAAGTCTCATACACTTCAACGTTATATAGCATAGATCACCTAAAGATTTGACACCTCAGCTTATTTCACTTATAGATTTGACGCCCAACTTACTTGACCTAAAGATTTGACACCCCAGCTTATTTCACCTTAAGATTTGACAGCCTGATGGTCTGGTTACATTTAGTCTCTGGCGTATTTCACCTTAAATAATGTCCTCCTACAGTAGGGTGGTTAATCTTAAGAGAAAATAAGCTGGGGTGTCAAATCTTTAGGTGAAATAAGCTGGGTGTCAAATCTTTAGGTGAAATAAGCTGGGATGTCAATTCTTTAGGTGAAATCAGCTGGGGTGTCAATTCTTTAGATGAAATAAGCTGGGATGTCAAATCTTTAAGTGAAATAAGCTGGGGTGTCAATTCTTTAGATGAAATAAGCTGGGATGTCAAATCTTTAAGTGAAATAAGCTGGGGTGTTAATTCTTTAGATGAAATAAGCTGGGATGTCAAATCTTTAAGTGAAATAAGCTGGGATGTCAATTCTTTAGATGAAATAAGCTGGGATGTCAAATCTTTAAGTGAAATCAGCTGGGGTGTCAAATTTTCTGATGATCCACAGTTTCTTCTTTGGGTCTTCAAGGAAATATGAAAATATTCTCTTTGAGCCACTTATCAAATAATAATAATATAAATCACCTACAGGGTAATTCTCTACAGAAACTACATCTTCTTGATGTACTAACACCAACTTGGCTTAGCTTACTTGAGCCTCTTCGGCACTGGGTAATATATACAGTAGGTCATAAAACAAAAACCAGACCAACCACACGAATGTCTAGTTAGCTGAGATGTTTTGAAATAAATAAATTAAATAAATAAATAAATAAGCTCCGTTCCTCATGATCAGTATCAAGACACATCCTGGACAAAACCTTGCTGGGATATACTCCCCGCCGCAACAGTTAGGTCAAACAAATCACTATTTTTTTCTGTACCGAATAAATATTTCTCAACATCAGCGGACCGTAGACGCTGGTGAGGACTATTATACTCTATAGCAGTGGTTCTTAACCTTTCTTGAGTCACGGACCCCTTTGAGAATCTGGTGAAAGCTATGGATCCCTCCCTAGAAAAATGCACATAAACACAACTTTGCATGCAATGAATATACTTTATGTTATTGAAAATTCATTGCCTCATACAGTGTATCAGATACACACAGTATAAATAAAGTAAACAATCTTAACAAGGAATTATGTTTCACACTTTTTTATGCAAAATTAATGGCCACTCCATACAAAAATGAAATACAATTATCTTGTGCAAATTAAACAAAACAAAACTTTAATTCTGCTCAAAAGTTCATTTCAATGTGAAGGTTGTTGTTGTTGTTTGGCCTGAAGATAAATGTTCAATGTTTATCTGACCTTCACGGACCCCCTGAAGCCCATCCACGGACCCCCTGAAGCCCATCCACGGACCCCGGGTTAAGAACCTCTGCTCTATGGGCTATTTTTTATATCATATTTAGTAAGACACCTTGACAAGAATATGTCCACGAGGTTTGTCTTGGAAGTTTCTCTGGGGGGGTGTCCAGGGGATTGTTGTCCGGGGGTTGTTGTCCGGGGGGTTGTTGTCCGGGGGGTTGTCCGGGGAGGGTTATCCAGTGGGTTATCCGGGGGTTGTCCGGGGAGGTTGTCTGGGGGGTGTCCAGGGGGTGTTGTTCGGGGGTGTTGTTTTGGGGGTTGTCAGGGGGTGTTGTTTGGGGGTGTGTGTTCGGGGGTGTTTGTTCAGGGTGTTGTCAGGAAGTGTCTTCAGGGGGTTGTCCGGGGTTGTTGTTCGGGGGTGTTGTCTGGTGGGGTGTTGTCCGGGGGTGTTGTTCGGGGGTTGTTTTGGGGGGTTGTCCGGGGGTTCCAGGGGCTGTCCGGAGGGTTTCAGAGGTTGTCCGGGGGTTCCAAGGGGTTGTCCGGGGGTTCCAGAAGGTTGTCCGGGGGTTCCACAGGGTTGTCGGGGGTTCCACAGGGGTTGTCCGGGGTGGTTCAGGGGTTGTCGGGGGGTTCAGGGGTTGTCCGGGGTTCAGGGGGTTGTCGGGGGTTCAGGGTTGTCAGGGGGGTTCAAGGGGTTGTCAGGGGGTTCCAAGGGTTGTTCAGGGGGGTTCAAGGGTTGTCGAGGTGGGTTCCAAGGGGTTGTCCGGGGGGTTACAGGGGGTTGTCCGGGGGTTACAGGGGTTGTCCGGGGGTACATGGAGGTTTTTGTATGGGGTTTTTATCTGGGTAATTTTGTCTAAGAGATTTTGTCCAGGGAGTTTTATCCGGGAGGGTTTTGGTCTAGCAGGATAATGCCCAGGGGATTTTGTCTAAGTGGGATTTTGTCATAGCAGGGTTTTGTCCAGTGAGATTTTGTCCTAGTTGGGTTTTATCATGGTTTTGTCCTAGAGGGATTTTGTCATAGCAGGGTTTTGTCCAGTGAGATTTTGTCCTAGTTGGGTTTTATCATGGTTTTGTCCTAGAGGGATTTTGTCATAGCAGGGTTTTGTCCAGTGAGATTTTGTCCTAGTTGGGTTTTATCATGGTTTTGTCCTAGAGGGATTAAGTTTACCCTACACCCACCTACAACAGCACTGGTCTGTGAGGAATTTCCTGAAGAAATGTTGGTGATGATCCAAGCTGTCTCATACACCAGAGTGGAGCTGTGGGGGAGGGAGAGACCTGGTCAGGGTACAGTACTGTAAGAATAGAAGGGTGAGAACAGTCCTTGGTAGTACAGTAATAGATGTAAAAGTACAGTACAAGAAGGATGAGAATGGTGGCAGTACACGAATCACTCACAATGGTTTGATGCAAAATCTGGTTATAATTGTACAGTATTTTAGAGAACTTGTATACTGTACTGGTAAAGTTAACGTGTGGTAAATGGGGAGTTAGATTCACCTACCTGTAAACATGTAGAATCTTACCCCTAGTGTCCATAGGATAACATATTTGATATATATTGATGTATAATATACTCTAAACTCACATAATTCAGCTCATAAATAATTTGTGACGAAATGCTGCAGCTATGGTAAAGTTATAGCTAACACTGTGCTTCCTTTGCTGCTATATAACCCGACATTAACCCTTTGTGTACGGGTTCCCCTCTAAGCTGAAGAAAATCGTCCAGTACTAGCCAAATTAAATACTAAAAATGGCATCCCTGTAATGAAGGAGTTCAGGAAATAGTTACCTACCAAACCTAATACATTTTCACCACAATAACTTGAGTCCTAAAAGCTTGAGTCAAGGAGAAAAAAGATATTCACTTTTTCTCCTGCAGATTGGCCAAGGTGGGAATGAGTAAGCCTGCCTCCAGAAACTCGTCAATCGGAGGGTTACTGTTAGTGGAGATAAGCTTTCGGACTTTGACTGTGGCCTCCAATTTGGTTTCGTCGTTCTCGCTTCCCATATCTGCGACGATCTTGGCATAATCTACGTTTTCGTCTACGTCTGTCTGGATCATAGAAGAATGAATACTGTATAGTAATAATCCTTAACTGTAAACGATAAGAAAAATGATATAATGAGAGAATACTTAGTTATTTTTTCTAACATATCATACTGAACATAATTTAGCGATATATAGTTATTTTTTCTAACATATCATACTGAACATAATTTAGCGATATAGTTATTTTTTCTAACATATCATACTGAACATAATTTAGCGATATATAGATATTTTTTGTGATATTTCAAAATTTGAATTAACTAAAATATAATTAAAAGTAACAAGTTTTTAGATACATTACGTAAAATAAGACTTTATACTGATCAAAGATTTGCCCTAAACGGAAAACAGGTGGAAACGTAGAAGAGAGGAATGCTGAATACCGCCCTTACACAGAGCGTGCTGGGAGGAGCCATCACCTTCAGTGTGGTAAGAGGAAGTTTGTTGAAGTCTACCAAGAAGTTGTCTATAACAACCAGCAGTAGTGTAAGTGTTAACTGTAAACCTGCATTGTCTATATACATAATGTTGAACCACCTGTACACTTATAGGATTATTTTACTGAATATCTATCTATCTATCTATCTATCTGGCTTGAACTGGGGGGGAGGGGGGTTATAGGACGGATGTCAGATAAGACCCTAAGAACGGGAGATTAAAGACCAAATATAGTTTATGGTTGTGAAATGGAAGCTGTCAGCCTCACCACATACAAATGATGCTGTGATCCCGAGAGGTTAGTTATGTTTTCTCTTGTCCAGTAGACACTATAGGTGGAATAATAAAAGTTTGTAACCACCACAAAGCTCCTAAGTCAAGTGTCATATATGTAGGTCATCGAAATGTGCCACAAAAAAGTTCACAGCTTTAAGTTAATGACGGCACAAGTACTGTATAGATATAATTAGCATTGGAGTAAGAAATGTGTACTGTTGGAATAACCCGCCAGAGGATGTTGTAACAGTACTAAGCGTGAGTTCATTCACCACCAGAGTTGCCCTGAGCTTGTAGTGTGCCAGCCCTCAGTGACCTTTCCTAACATGTGTAATATCTGTAAAGAAAGTTCGTTTATGATTCCGACATTACCACATGTTCAGAGAGGCCACAGACGACGGGTGGAACTATATCTGAGGGCAACTGTACAGTCAAGAGCCAGTACATGTCCAGTACTTACCAACAGTGTACGAGAGAGCCAGTACATGTCCAGTACTTACCAACAGTGTCAGAGAGAGCCAGTACATGTCCAGTACTTACCAACAGTGTAAGAGAGAGCCAGTACATGTCCAATACTTACCAACAGTGTAAGAGAGAGCCAGTACATGTCCAGTACTTACCAACAGTGTCAGAGAGAGCCAGTACATGTCCAGTACTTACCAACAGTGTCAGAGAGAGCCAGTACATGTCCAATACTTACCAACAGTGTAAGAGAGAGCCAGTACATGTCCAGTACTTACCAACAGTGTCAGAGAGAGCCAGTACATGTCCCAACAGTGTAAGAGAGAGCCAGTACATGTCCACCAACAGTGTAAGAGAGAGCCAGTACATGTCCAGTACTTACCAACAGTGTAAGAGAGAGCCAGTACATGTCCAGTATACTTACCAACAGTGTAAGAGAGAGCCAGTACATGTCCACACTGTACCAACAGTGTAAGAGAGAGCCAGTACATGTCCAGTACTTACCAACAGTGTAAGAGAGAGCCAGTACATGTCCAGTACTTACCAACAGTGTAAGAGAGAGCCAGTACATGTCCAGTACTTACCAACAGTGTAAGAGAGAGCCAGTACATGTCCAGTACTTACCAACAGTGTAAGAGAGAGCCAGTATGTCAAGTACTTACCAACAGTGTAAGGAGAGCCAGTACATGTCCAGTACTTACCAACAGTGTAAAGAGAAGCATGTCAGTACACCACAGTGTGAAGGCCAGTACATGTCCAGTACTTACCAACAGAGAGTAACAAAGAACAGAAGCTCACCAATGGAGGAAGAGAGAAAATAAGTTAACTGAGAATAAATGAAAGGTAATACTAAAATGTTTTGTTGAAGTTTAGAATTTAAATGCGTCTTGTGGTTGTAACTTCTTCTGTCTCTAAAGCACCATTACCCTGTCTAATTTTACCTGTCGCCCATTGTCTTTACCTCATCCTCAGAATCTACTGTTTCTATCCTCGCAGTAAGTGGAGAAGGGAGAGAGAAAAAGACTTGTCAGCATTAGAGCGAGAAAGTCCTTTAACCCTGATTATAGTGGCTTTATGCCCTGGAGTTCGAGCTTGGTGACTTAATTAAGCACTTAGCTCCCTCAGTGCTTTTTTTTACGGGAATCGCCCACCCGGGCACAGGTCAGCGACCCACAACGGGGCCGGGGGGGTGAAATAGGAGTAAAAAGAAATTAAAAATATAAAGAAAAGGTTATATTAATCTACACCGCGAAGATGCCGGATAACCATCTTTTAGAAGTGAGACAGATTGTATGAGTATGGAAACACAGAAGAAGGCAGAGCATTCCACAGTTTGGCTGTGTGAGGAAAGAAGGAGGTACTATAACTGGTTATTCTCGTGTGACAGACATCCACAGAAAACAGTGGGCACGCGCGGGCAAGACAGTGTTACGAGCCCCGGCCTTGCCGGCAGTACACAGGATGCCAAATCCACCAAACATTGCTTAAAACCTGCAAAAGAGAGATGAAGCAACATTGTGGTGAAGAAAGGAGAGAAAGATTGTCGACTAAAGGAGGAGAGTTAATAAGACGAAATGCCTTGGATTCCACCTATCTAATAGTTGGACAGAAGAAGAGCCACCCCAGATAGAGCAGTACTCCAAGTTAGGACTAATGGATCCTTATATACTTGGAGCAACTGTCAGGGTAATAGTCTACGGCATCTGTACGGCATTCCCGGCTTTCAGGAGGCAGCTTTAGCAATGTTGAGAATGTGTGGCTTCCATCAATAGAAATGGTGGAGGCCTATATCTATTTCAGAATTTGAGAATAGTGCCTTTGATATGGTAACTTGCCACTTTGGTATGGTAACTTGCCCTTTGAGTATGGTAACTTGCCTTTGAGTATGGTAACTAACCCTTTGATTATGGTAACACCCTTTGAGTATGGTAACTTACCTTTGAGTATGGTAACAACCCCTTGAGTATGGTAACCAACTTCTTGAGAATGGTAACTCCTTTGAGTATGGTAACACCCTTGGTATGGTAACTTAACCCTTGAGTATGGTAACTTAACCCCTTGAGTATGGTAACTTGCCCTTTAGAATGGTAACTTGCCCCTTTGAGAATGGTAACTTGCCCCTTTGAGTATGGTAACTTAACCCTTTCAGGTATGGTAACTTAACCCCTTGAGTATGGTAACTTAACCCCTTGAGTATGGTAACTTAACCCCTCGATTACCATGAAATAACCCCTCGACTCCAGGAACCTAATCTCTTGAGTATGGTGTTTTAATCCCTTAAGTACATTGACACTAACCCTTTGAGAATGATTAGTTAACCTTTAAGTACACTAACAAAACGTAATGAATTCTTTGAGTACAATGCCAAGCTGTTCAAGGAAATTAATTGTGACAATCAAAGATTTCAGTCACCTGACAGCAAGAGTTAAGTTGTAACAGCACACTTTGTATTATATAAATATTCAACCACATGTAGGGACTTCTAATGTAAATCAAATACATCCCATTTCTACAACAACAGATGCTCAAAGAAATATATCAATACATATCGTCAAAAACCAAGATCAGCAAACAGAAATCGTTAATTACTCCTGTTGGTCTTCAGCTCGGTGACAACAGCCGCATCCCCAGCAGACGTCGTCAAAGTACTGGTAGTACAAGACGCTGTAACTGTCAAGAACGAGCTCCATGATCTAATGCGCATGCCAGTGCACCTGAGGTCAATAGCTGTCCACACTGAAACAGCTATGCAAACTCTGCAAGATGTCGAACAACAATCTACAATCTCTACAACATAATACTCAATCTCACAACGGAACGACCGTATGAATAGTGACAAACGAGTAAATCACTGGGGAACGATCCCTATATCTCCTGAAGACATAGGGGAAAAAGGTACATTCTCAGCGGCGTCAAAAACGTGGTGTATTTAATTTTGTTGGTTTATTAAGTAACACCTTGTTTGGTACGGCAACCGCTGAATATGTAGCTAACTAGGGAACAGAATGAATGCAGTTTCAGAAGTGGTTAAGAAACAAAATAGGGCCATTGAACAGCCCTACAAGGCAGTACAAACTCTGACCTCTCACATGAATGCTATTGTTGACGAAACTGATCAACTAACACGTGTTGTCCAGGGATTCACACGGTCATAATCTACACTGGAATGGCTACTCTGCTTTACAGAAAATATGCATGCAGCTGAAGCCTCTGTAGAAGCTTTCATAGACACCGGCAGGAGGCTCATAGCTGATCTAGTGAATTCGGAGTTAGGTCGTGTTGACGCACAGTTGGTCAACTTATTGCCGCTTTACTTATAGCTGAAACTAAATATCGTCTAACTCTTATCTTTCAGGAGCATGAAGTGGAATATTATTACCCCTTATTAGAGGCAACCTTAACACATAAGGAAATACTAATACACATTCCACTAAAATCACTTCTGTTTTTTATGCATGACATTTGGAACCATTTCCATTGAAAGTGAATGACGATCCTTTAATTCTGAACAAACCAACTGAACTAATAGTAGTGTCAGAAGATTTTTTATTAGTTGCTGTGACTAAGCATGAAGTCCTATATCATTGTAAGTCAACATATTTACATTTGCATGTTTGTCCTGCGTATGCTTTCGCTTTCACACGGGCTGCAGAAGCTACATGTGAATTAGCTATAGTACAAACTAATGCCTCTACAGTTCTACAATGTGTATCACTCCAACACCACATAGGTTAGTGTTTCACGCACATGTCATTAATGTGCAATATTTTTATCTCCTAAATCAAACCAGTGTGATACTTATATGCCAGGATGTAGGCAAACATTTAGTAGTAGAAGGTTATCATATAGCACCAGACTATTGTGAGACTAGCAGTAGTGCAATCACAACCTTGCCTACTCGCCATCATCTTGCATTTGTCACAAACATTACTTCTGAACTGGTACCCAGAAGCTTAAACTATCTTATACTAATGAGACACAGTTTCCTGACTTACAGGATTCTCTTCCTTTATATTTATCTTCCGGTTTAATCCTACCTATTTTCATTATACCTACCATCTTATTTATCAGTTCCTTGATTGTTATGATAATTTGTTACAGGAAGATTTCTTCTAGGCACACAATAGTTTCTAAGAGGACTTTTTGGAAGGAATTACAAAGGCATGTATACGAAGAAAAAGTTTAGCCAAAGCACACTTTCTTGTAGTAAGGTTAGGTACACCTAGGATTTAAACTGAGGGACTCTGTTGGAGGTGGCCAAGGCGGTGTAACAGCACCATTTGTATTATATAAATATTCACCCAAATGTATAACAACAAGTTATTCACTAAGTTATTCAAGAATGACTCGGTAGTTGATTATGTTATACACGCTGAGTCTGTAAAACCCTCAGAGGTTGAGCCACAAGGAAAGCTAATTTAGCAAATACCTCGCCCACTACTCCTTGACTCTCACACTCTGAGCGAGAGGAGAAGCCAGAATCTTGCCACTTACTGGGGTGTGAACACCTCGCTTAATAGTTCCTATATAACTGTACTCAATACACTTCCCCTAGAGAGAATTCACAAAAATCCAGAATAAGTGTTTACATCAGCCCTGTCACTTAAGAGTTCCAGAACTAACTTAAACAATTGTGTGTGATATAGAATACCACACGACATACTCTGGGGGTTAAGTCACCATACTGAAAGAATTAAGTCACCATACTCTGGGGGTTAAGTCACCATACTCAAAGGGTTAAATTAGCATACTCAAGAGATTGGGTCACCATATTCAAGGGGCTAAGTCACTATACTCAAGGGGTAAGTCATCATACTCAAGGGGTTAATTCATTATACTCAAGGGGTTAAGTCACCCTACTCAAAGGGATAAAAGTTCTTCTTCGTTGGGACAGATCATCTTGCTCCGGGGTTGCCATTATCCTCAAGGGGTCCTGGAATGGTCAACACTGCTACACGTTCAGGTACATTTAAGAAGCCATACATATACAGGAGTTTCCAGCAGTAAGTAAAAGTGAGAACAAGACAAAATAAATATCCAATGAACTGACATGTGGAAGGAGGTAGTTACAGGATCCTTACCGAGGAGAAAGATTTGGTCAACACTCAGAACGAGAGAGAGTATTTACCTGATTAGTATCCAGGAGGAATACTGTACTGATAGTTGATACCCAGATGGTCACAATAAACTGTTCAAGACCCAGAAAAGGTATATTGATTGGCATTATAGAACACAAAAAATAATCAATATCTAATGGGTGTTGATTGACTAACACAAACAATTATCTAGCTGGTGCAGTGGTCAGGTAAACATGGAAGAGATGACTTTGGCATTACATATCATAAAGGAACGTACCCCAGAGCTATTTTCCGGTGATTTGGGTGGCGACTCGGAAGACTGGAAAGATAATTTAGAAACTTAATACCTGTGAACATCATCCTAATCATACCAACACATCAGTAACATCTTATTATCACATAAATATTATACCAGTATATTAAACTAGGCAATTTATCCAGGATCAATTGAGTGGATGGGAATAGTGTATGATTATCCCCTATGTCACCCAGCACCCTAAAATAAGTCGCTTACCTTCTAAAATGTTCGTGTTCATATAAAATAAGTAGTGTTCTGTCAAATATGTCACTCGTAAAATATGTCACTACTTCTGTAAAATATGTTGTGCCCTGAAACAAAAACAAAAAGTCATGCCCGAAAAATAAGTCACACTCCTCCCTAAAATAAGTCACTTCCTCTGTAATATACAGTAAGTCGTCCTCCCATTAAATATGTTGCGCTCATTTAAGACCAGATTTGACCAACTGACACATGTTTAGGTACATTCAACAGCTTGTACAGTCAACCACAAAGTCCTGTCGCCTCTCAAGTAAAACCAAAGTTGTAAACACTAACTCATTTTTCTGTCCATAAATGCTTCGGATTCACGATTCAGAATCTCGCGGTTCATAGTTCAGGAAGAGAGGCGACAAGAGTTTAGTGGGAGACTGTGCACGCCCAGAGAGAGCCTGCAAGTCTGCATATAAAAAAAAGTGCTTATAAAAAAAAAATCCTTAGTATTATGTCAGAGTGAACGACACCATCTTAGCATGGAGGCTTTATAGAGCCATCAGTACTCACATTATCTTGTGTTAATGCTGCGCTGGTTTCTACTTCTGCTGTGTCTGGACTGGGCTGTAGGAGAGTATAAAGCTGTCACAAGAATCACCACTCACACATTTGACAAGCGCACCGTGAAACGTCAACAAAGGCTGTGAGTGAGCGCTCCCTACAATTCCCAATTCTGATGAATTTAGTGAGACGACTACCTTCAGTCTGTTTAGAGAACTACAGTGAAGCCCAGTTGTAAGCACAGTGTCGCTTGTGGAAATTTATAGTTGCTGGACAATATTTTGGATAAAATATCTGGACTTTCTGCCTGGACCCTCTGGTCGGTTATTTTCCCATCTACGAATGCTCAGTGCGAAGAGCGTGACGTTGTATGACGTGGTAGTGACGTCATTGCCTCTTCATGTCGCCTGTGACCGAACACAAGCATTGCACAATGCCTGGGGAGAGTGGTGGGCAGAAACCTATGAAGGCTTTGGCTAAAGAAGAAAAGATTGCCCTACTGAACAACTTAGAAGACGACCTGAGGCTTTCAAGTAGTGAATCAGAAGCAGACAATCAGCGGCCAACAACAATAGAAGTGATAGACAATTTTCAAGAAGTGATTAGTAAGAAAGAAAAGAAGAGGAGGCGAGAGGAGGCGAAGAAAAGTGAAGGAAGCGACAGTGATGAGATCATGAATGATAGGAAGAAAAGGACGACACACACAGAAGGAAGCAGAAAGAATTCAACTGGGAATAAAACACAGCAGGTCTTGACTGAATCCAACACCCTTCAAGAGTCAGACCCCAGTGATTATGACAGTGACGGTAATGTTTCTATGGGAAACACTAGCCACAGTGGAAACAGCAATGCCATGGACCCTATCACCCTGCCCTCTGCCAAACAAACAAGTAAGCTGAATCTCCACTTTCCCAAGGACTCATTAAAATCTGTCGAGGATCGGTTTAATTGGATGATGAAGTACTGCAGACAGCATGGTCCCAACATTCAATTCCGACAAGGTAAGAACCGGAACTTTATCAAGTGTCAGACTCCTGAAGTCTATAAAACCCTTAGTACTGTTGGCTTTGACGGGGTTGTCCAAGTGGCCCCTCCAGCAGACGCTGATGAATGTTGCCACATCCTAGTGAAACGATTCCCCCTATACGCTGACATCGAAGATGCACGTGACTTTAATTCTAATATACTCAGTATACGTCGACATTACCGGGGACACACTCCACAAGCTGCTGTTATTGTCAAGTGGAAGGGAAGGGTATGTCCAACCACTGTGGAAGCCCATCCAATCCTTCCACCACTTTATGCAGAGCCCTATCATCCTGGGCCTGCATTTTGTGTTATCTGCTCTCATTGGGGTCACACCTTCACTGCCTGCTGCCGACGTGATCGTCCTAGATGTCGCTTCTGCTCACGTAACCACAACTCCGCCGCCTGTGCCCAGAAAATCAAAGACCACCTTAATAGGGGTGGTGTGGGCTATGTAGTTGAGCCCAGGTGCTGTAACTGTGGCGGCCGGCACAATGCTGACTCACGGCAGTGCCCCAGTCGCCCTTCTGTCCCAGGGGAGAGGCCTCCCCAAGGGCTGCGTCTACCACAACGCCCCCCTCAGTCTACTGGGTCACCTGTCCCTGCCTGGCTTCACCAGGCTGCACCACAACAGCACCTACCATTCCCTAACTCAACCACTACTGAGCCTCCTCCCCGTCTCTACTCTGACGCAGTCAAGCCTTGTGCCGCCACCAGTGCCCCCCCATAACCCCGTCTCTACCCTGACGCTGTCAAGCCTTGTGCCGCCACCAGTGCCCCCCCACAACCCGTCTCCAGTGACATGACACAGATCATGTCCCTCTTCCAAGAATTTACCAGTCATGTTGAGAAACTCTTGGTTACACTCTGTACCGCCATCTCCGACCTACACCGCCAACTCCTGCCCTTTGCTGCCACCCAGTCACTCCCCTCTTTTGGTTTGACACAAGCTGGTAGTCCCCCTGTGAGCCCCCCCTGCTCACAGGTTGTGTGTACTGGGGCCCCCGAGCCAAGCCCTGCCTCATCTTTACGTCACGTGGTGCCTCAACCTGTCTACCCACCTCAAGCCGCGCCTGCTCCTGTGTCTGTGCTGTCTCCACCAGGGCTACCTATTGGACCTGAGGACTCCACCCCCGGCTACCCATACTCCACCGACATGCCGGCACCTAAGGCCCATCCGTCCACGTCAGGGGTAATCAGTCTAATACACCACAATGGATAGCAACGCTACAGGACTGCAGGTACTCACCTGGAACATAAACGGCTTGCAAAGCAAGTTTGATGCCCTCAAAACCTACGTCTACACTGAAGACGTCGACATGCTGTGCCTCCAAGAAACGCGGTGTGCTGCTGGTACCTATGTGCTCAGTGGCTACACATGTGTTGAGAGCCCATCCACTCCTGTTCTCCGCATCGACGGACTACCACGAAGCCATGCACGTGGACTACGGATCTACGTCAAGAAGGATGTCCCCTACCAACCTCTCGACGTCCCCCTTGATGACGACACCACCGACGCACATGCCATCACAATCACACTAAAAGGTATGTCCCTCAATATTGTCAATGTCTATGTGCCTCCCTCCACCCCTACTGTACCTGTCCTACCACACCATATCACCTCCACCCCCACCCTCCTTGTGGGGGACCTCAATGCCCGTCACCCTAGTCTCGGCTCCCAGGGGCCCCACTCAAACTCCCGGGGTAACTCCTGGCTCTCCTACCTACAAACCACTGATGACCCTGTACGTCTTCTCTGCCCTCCATCACCCACCCACATCGGGGGAGGGAAACTTGACTACATAGCTCTCTACTCTGACCCTCACCGCCCACACTCCACCCGCATCCTCCACTCCCCCCACAGTGACCATTTCCCTATCCACACTACCCTCCAGTATGTGAGAATACCCGCTCCACCCAAGGGCCCTAGGCTCAGGCTACCCCCTGCCAACATACCTGCCTTCATCACTACCATTGCTGAATGGTTTCAGGATTACACTGTCACCACCGCAGACCAACTCTACCTTGATCTGTCTAAACAATGCACTACCCTCCTCCGCCCTGACCCAAACACCGCCGCCCTAACCGCCAGCCCAGGAGTCATTGGAATGTTAACCGCGACCCTCATGTTAAGTCTATCCGAGTATGGCACCGACTAGCAGTCGACCAGTGGAAGAAATCTCCCAGCTCCCCTGACGCTCTACGCTTCCTGATGCGCACAAATAAAGAGCTCCAATCTGCCATCACTCTCGCACGAGAGAAGCAGCAGTTTGATTTTGCTTCTACTATTGACCAGTCTACATCTATAGGTGATATATGGCGCACCATTAACCGTGCCCGGGGCACCAACGCTAGACCCGCACTCCACCCCAGACCAGCTGCCCGAGCTGAGGCGCTCTCCCAGACGTGGCAGGAGGCCGCCTCCATTGATGCGCTACCACCCGCTGTACGAGACCTCACACAGTGTGAACTACTAAATGCTGTTAAGTGCGGCCAGTCCACCGCCCCTGGCGATGATGGCGTGACATATGATGTGCTAAATGCCCTTATTGCCACCCCTGGTAACCCCCTCCTCTGTCTATTTAACCTCTCTTATGATACTGGTCAGCTGCCTCACTTATGGAAGACTGCCACCACCATCCCAGTCCCTAAACCAGGCAGACAAGATGAATATCGTCCAATCTCCCTCATCTCCTGCTTCTCAAAGATGATGGAGCGCATGATACGCCACCGCCTCCACTGGAAAATTGAAGCCCACCTGCACCCTGACCTCTATGGTTTCCGCCCCGGAAAGAGCACTGCTCACTGCATCACTCACTACATGGCAAACACCTCCGCCAAAACCTCCCTCTTCGTCGACTTCAAGGGTGCTTTTGATAAAGCCAACAGTGAAGTGATCCTTGAGGGCCTCATTCACATGGATGTGAAGGGCAAACTCCTCACGTGGATTGCTGACTACCTCTCCCATCGACACGCCAGTGTCCGTTTTCAGGGCCACTACTCTAAGATCAGGGACCTTGATCTTGGCACGCCTCAGGGAGGTGTACTCAGCCCTACACTCTTTATTGTTCTCATGAACTCCATCTGCCGCCTCAACGACATCTTTGCTGAGCGCCCTAGACGGTCACATCATAAGCTACGCTGATGATATTCTCCTCCAAATTACTACAGTGCAACATGAACAACCTATACTCTCCACGTTCGCCCGGACCTGTCAAACACTCGGGCTAGTTATCTCACACACTAAAACCAAGTTCATCTCACACTTCGGCGTCAGACACCGCTGACTGCAAGGACAAGACATCGATGAAGTACACACTAACAGGTACTTTGGTCTACCTGTGCGAGCCACTACCAGAGCCACGACCTCCGCTGTCGCCGCCCACGTCATCTCCCAGTGCCTCCAACGAACGAGGCCCCTCCAGTCCCTCTCCCACGGCCTCAAAGGAGCCTCTGTCATGGTCCTACGTCTCACGTACATTGCTATCGTCAGAGCTGTCATAGATTATGCCTCTCCTGTCCCTGTAGTTGCCTCCCAGCGTGAAAAACAAAGCATAGAGAAAATCCTAAACAGAGCGATGAGACTCATCCTCGGCTGCCCTATGACCACCAGAATAGAAGTCATGCAGCGTGAACTGATCTTGCTCCCCGTCTGCGATCGAATTACTGCTCTCAATGCCATCCTTGGTGTTAAACTTCTTCGCAGTGAGCAACCGACTCCCCTGTCGCGCTCACTGAACTCACATCTTGACTCCCTCCTGCGCCGGCCTGCCCTCTCCCTCCCCCTCTCAACACTGGCCCGTCCACACTGCTGCTGACATCCTGCGTTATCACCTCTACACCCCCTCGACCTCTCTCCCTCCCGAGTACACTCATCCGCCCCTACCGCCGTGGACTTCCCCGAGTGTTGATGTTGTCGTCCACACCTTACCTGGTCGTAAATCCACCCAACTGCGGTATATGCTCAAACGTAACTGCCTTGAGCAGATTGATGATGTCGCCTCCTCTCTTACGACCTCCCACCCTCCTATCCTCGTCTACTGTTATGGGTCTGTTACCACGCTGGGCAGCGCTGGGGCAGCTGTGTGGATTCCTGAGCGCCAGGCCTGCAGGAAAATCAGGGTCCACGACTGGGCCTCCTCCACTGACACTGTACTGTAAGCATAGCCATCCTCGAGGGCATTCATGAGGGGGGCGACCTATGCTCGCACTGAACGCCGGAACCTCCTTATAATCAGTGACAGCACTTCTGCACTAGCGAGGCTCAAATTACCCTCCCCTTCCTCCCCTGCCGCCCAACACACCCTAGCCGCCGTCGCCGGATTAGAACAAACTGATGACATCCGTGTCAAGTGTATTTGGATCCCGTCACATATAGGAATAACTGCCTGTGACACTGTTGATCGACTTGCCAAAGAAGCGACACAAGAAGAAGATATTGAAGCCACCCTCGCCCCCTCCCTGAATCATCTCAAATCTCGCATACACGCCACACAACGAGAGACATTCGACGAAAATTGGACACACCTGAAACAACGGGGCAGCGTCACACTATGCCACTATGACGCTGTAACCGGTGACGACAACCGCCACTACAAAGAATATCAATCCCTGACTCGATCTCAACAGATTATGTACATGAGACTGCGCCTAGGGTACAGGTACCTATGGGAGTACATTGACAACCCTGAGCCTCACCGCACTGTTTGTAAACTTTGTGGTCAACCCGACTCCCACACCCTCCTTCACTACATCCTCACTTGCCCTATGACCCCCTCCTACAGGTCCCCAGCCGTTACCAACACCTCTTCCCTCCCTGACCAGATATCCCTCCTCCTAGTGACAGGCCTGACACTTGACATTATTAGGAACCTGCCACACTTTGCTATAAACAGATGAAATGTACCGAGAACTTTCCCCCCACACACTCATCATTCTGTCACTCTACGTAACTTGACAAAACCTATGACCCTTCAGGCTTTTGCGCCCTTAATGCACGAGTCATAAAGGCAAGTATGAACTTTGCATACTTCCCAGATGGGCGCTGTAAACGCATCTGCGCTTCACCTTGCACAGGATGTAATGGGGTGCCCAATAAACTAGCCCCCTCGGGGGCAAATCGAAAAAAAAAAATCACCACTCAATACATTATATGTGTTAGTAAGCCTAGTCATAGTAGCACCAGGGACTGATAGCAAGCAGATGAAAATAATCAGTCAATTATCACAACAAAAACATGGGATAACATAATTTACTCACTGGCTTTTGCAATGCCATCCATCACAGTGCTAACCTCTCGAAGCAATCATTTCAAACTCTATTCGAAATCACCTGGAGAAGCACAGATTGATCAATGATTCCCAGCATGGCTTCACAAGCGGACGTTCTTGCCTAACTAATCTATTAACATTCTTTTCATCAGTTTTCGAATCGGTGGACGAGGGGCACAATTATGATGTGGTATATCCCGACTTTAGCAAAGCCTTCGACAGAGTCCCCCACGAAAGACTAACTAGAAAGGTAGAAGCTCATAGCATCAAAGGTAACATCCTTAAATGGATTAGGGCGTGGTTACAGGACAGGAAACAGCGAGTGAGCATTAACGGCACTAAGTCCCATTGGAGCAACGTCACAAGTGGAGTTCCCCAAGGCTCAATACTTGGGCCATTATTATTTATTATATACATAAACGACATAGATATCGGCATAGACAGCAACATAAGTAAATTTGCTGATGACACTAAAATAGGACGTGTTATTAAATCTGACGAGGACTCAGCAAAACTACAGGAAGATCTAAAATTTTTCGAATGGTCTGAAAAATGGCAGATGAAATTCAACATGGACAAATGTAAAGTACTCAGTATAGGAGATGTAAACAGGGAAACCAGATACCAGATGAACAACGATGCCATAGAGAAATCAGACTGCGAGAGAGATTTAGGAGTAATGATAAGTAAGAACCTTAAGCCAAGTAAACAACTTGTTTTTGCTCGTAACAAGGCTAATAAAGTACTTGGGTTCATACAAAGGAGTGTTAGTTACAAGACCAGTGAGGTCATCCTAAAACTGTATCTTGCTCTTGTGAGACCACACCTGGATTACGCAGTTCAGTTCTGGTCACCGTATTACAGAATGGATATAAAATCCTTGGAAAGAATTCAGAGGGGAATGACAAGACTAATCCCGGGCATTAGGAACCTTGAGTATAGAGACAGGTTAAAGCATCTTAATTTGCACTCCCTTGAGAGACGTAGAGCGAGGGGCGACCTGATAGAGGTGTATAAGTGGAAGGCAGGGCTAAACAAAGGGGACATTACAAAGGTACTCAAACTATCCAACCAGGAGTGAACTCGTAACAATGGTTTTAAATCAGACAAATTTAGATTTAGGCGTGAAATAGGTAAACACTGGTTTGGAAACAGAGTAGTGGATGAATGGAACAAGTTACCAAATATCATCATTAACTCAAATACGCTGAACTGCTTCAAACATAGGTTGGATGCTCATATGAGCAATAGGGGTTGGGGGTAAACGGGACTGCCCAGTATGGGCCAATGGGCCCGCTGCAGTTTCCTCCATTCTTATGTTCTTATGTTCTTATGTTCTTATGTAAGGATGTTCACATGTACTCTTGTTAACAAAATTAATAAACATTGACCCAAAACATATTTATTTTTATTACGTTTAGTGGTTCTGAAAAGCTTAAAAATGACAAAACATATTTCAACAGTTTATATATTCTCCAATGATGTTATTTTTAAATCAAACACTTATGTGATTCAACGATCTTCGCTTGCCTAGGGTAAAGTATCGTCAAACAATAAACACACACACACACTATCAATCCACTATTACAGAGTGAGAGCTGAGTAATGTACAGCATCTACACTCACCACAACAAGTTCTCGAGCGCTCAACATTGCTCTCTGAGGAAGTTATATTGCAAATTAAATTACTTCTTTTCGCCTGTAAATACTATAAAGACGATCAACATATATTATTATGAAATATTGAGTCACTTCACAACCAGTCATGCCAACAATTCTGAGATGACAAGGATCATAGTGCTCATTCTGAAATATTCCGTGCTTAGCTGTTCGAGAATTTTTTGTGGCTAGTGTACTTCCAAGCGTCCTCTTGGCTGGCCAGGCAGAGTCGCTACTCTCTGAGGTAAACATCACCTTGTCTCTTACCTCCCGAGTGTCTGGAGACTTCAGAGATGGGTAAAACTCCACCATGGCCTCCGGGGGTATGTTCTCCACCCACTGACTTACTTTGAGTGTATCTTCATAGGTTGGTGGAGGTGGAGAGTCTATCTTTGCATCATCTAAGTGGCTGTCATCGCCGTCTCCCTTCTTCTCCTCCACCTCCCACTTCATCTTGGTTTGGCCTATCTGTGGTAATGGGTCATGGTGTGGCCTGCCAAAGACACAAGGTTAAGAGTATAAACTGCGTAACTATGTAAAATGAAACACTAACCTAACCACCCCCCCACCCCCTAGTAGCCATTCGGAAGTTTAGTTATCAGGTGAAATAAGTTTATCTTCAAGTGATTTAACAAAAGTACAAGATCTAGGTAAATAAAATCAGTCCAGTTATTTATCTATATCTATTGTTCATATGTCTTGAGGTAGCGAGTAGGGAAAGTAAACAGAAATGTGACAAACGTACCACATGTTATAGCACATATTAATTGCAGGTGTTAAAACAATGCACAACCAGCCCGGGCAATACTGTAGTCTGTAAGTTGCAAAAGACGAAAAGTACTAACGTCATAGGTGGCAGAGTAAGTTCGGGCAACAGGATGGTCCCAGAGTGTATACGGACCGAAGTGGCAGAGGTCCTTCCTGTTTGTGTCAGCTCAGGTTTTTGTCTGTGCTGCAGGTGTCTGTCTCCTGATGGTAAGTTTCTGTGAGGTAACGGACTGAATATTGAAGAACGGCGAGTTCCCAAGGCTTCAGACGGGGTGAGAGGAGGAAGTCTGACAGAGGCAGTGAGAGCTTTGAGTCGAGCACGACGTGCACGGATGGAATCCAGCTGCAGAAATTGTTGTCCATTATGTTATGTACTTAAAACATGCAGAAAATTATGGGGCTAGAGCGTCTTAAAACTATAACACTGTACTACGAGAATAATAGAGTAACTGTGAAAATACATGGCATCTATCTAGAGTGTGACAGGTATGGTAACACTAGCTGCATCTACCCAGCCCTTAGGAACCCCCGAGATAACCAAGTAGAGGTCTGATTACACAACATATATTGCTTACACTGATAACTCTTTCTAGTTTATCAAAAACTGTGGAACATATTTACTGTAGAATATTTTACAAATAATATTGTAATAAGATTCAAGTAATTGAACCTCATACACACAGTGATGCTTGTGTATTCCTGGAGGTAAGTACATAACAAACATATCTCATGGTGGCTGATAACAGCAGCTAAGACCTTTAATAATATAGTATTTGGTAACCAGTCTACAGAAAATACTTATTCCTTCCAGCGAAATAATCACAGTACATACTGTACTGTAGGTAGCGAGTTAGTTTAGTATAGTACAGTACCCAGTTTAGACTCATCCTTGGTGTTTCGTCCCTTAGCTGACAGCTGTAGTGTCCATAACTCACTGAATTTTGAACAGCATATATCAACTACAGTAAGTCTTAATAAAATGAATAATACCTACCAATACCGTACTCACATCCATGTCTCGATTCGAAGTCTTGACAGCTTTGCTGTGTCGCCTGGGTGGACTGGGTTCAGCTGACCCAATAAACGACCTTGGGCGAGGATGTGTCATTGTCCAGTTGGATGACATAACCACCAACCTGAAGAAGGAGAAGGTGGACGTGGTGAGGTTGGTGTAGCCCCCTGGCTGTGTCACCTGATGTGTTGGATGCCCTGGCAACTGTTTTGTACTTCTGCTGTTCCTCCGCCCATGTTTACTCCAGCTGGATACTTGACAAAAAGTCATTCTCATAAAAAAATCGTCACTAACGCAGCTGTAAAACAAAGCCAACAACGACAAATGTTTGAAATCAAATGCTGGTAACGCTCCACCAAACACCAACAGCTTCACCAACACGGTCTATCCAACAAACACACACACAATCTATACAACATACACCACAACAGCCTATCCAACAAACATCAACACAGCCAATCTAACCAACACCAACATACCGTATCCAGCAAGCATCAGCAGCCTATCCAACCAACACCAACAAAGGCTATCCAACAAATATCAACATTCTCACCAACAAACACTAACACAAACTATCCAACAAATATGGTCGCTATGGAACATAAACTGTCGTACGGTAGTCATTGAACATTACCTTATATAATTCATTGTGCATTACATTGAAAATTTGTTATATACACCATCCGTCACCACGATACAATGCATACATCAAAATGCTAGATCAGAACAAAACCTCCCATTGTTGCCCGTGACGAATCAATATGAAATGTTGTATTGGCGCCTCAAGTGTTGCCAACATGTTTCCATTTTAATAAAAGTGGTGGACAGAAGCCTGAAGTCTCCTCCACCGCAGTCAGATCAGTCAGTTCACACCCCTCACTTGGCCTTGGTTCCTTTACAGATAGAGGTAGATATAACTTATAGAAAGGGAATTAATTGTGCTTAGAAAAAAAGTAATTATCATTTACAGTTGACCATCCTTACACAACCAGACGTGAGAGATATGATATGATATGATATGATAGAAGTATTTAAGTGGGTGAAAGGAATCAATAAAGGGGATATAGATAAAGTTCTTATAATATCCGAGCAGGATAGGACTCGGAGCAACGGATTCAAGTTGGATAAGTTTAGGTTTAGGAGGGAGATAGGAAGGAACTGGTTCACAAATAGGGTGGTGGACGAGTGGAACAAGCTTAGCAACTTTGTAGTAAGTGCTGGAACTCTGGAAAGTTTCAAAAGGAGGCTAGATAGATTCATGGATGATAGAGAGTGGTAGTAACTCTCGACAGGAGCTGCCATGCACAGGCCAACCGGCCTATTGCAGACTCCTTATTTTCTTATGTTCTTATATGCACCTCGGATACTGAGCAAGCACTCTTATTATTAACACAAACTTTATTTGCTCTATTAGTAAAGTACAGTATAGTATACTATTCTAGCGAGCAACAAGCACCTGTCAATAATCACTGCAATTAACTTCAAAGCTCCTCTTGTTCACACTGTGACCAAAGTTGAACATGAACAGTATGAATGTTATCTGCATAATATAACAGACGAGGAAAATAATAGATAGAAACTTATGCCTCAATTGAGTGTTAGTAGTTCATCATTGACGAACACCGTTACTGTAGCTTGAGGGCCACCTTGCTCCCCCCGCGCCCTCTTACGTCACTTCACCACTAGGCAAAAGATACATTAAATATAAGCCTATTTAATACATTTATTATTAAACCTATAAATATTGCACAAATCTTTACAGTTATATATTTAGCTTAATATTTTTTTTACTTTGATTCTACAGTATAATTACTATTGCGAGTTTCTTATAATCCAACACAGCGCTGCCACACTGCACAAAACCTGACTAGTCCCTGTAAACACACGAGTGAGGGAACTATACCTGACACACTACGAGAGACTCGGTACAACAACGATCTTCACACAGGCTATTCCGGGCAGGACAAATACCTTGTGGAAATTTATAAAAAAGAAATTCTATTAGAATACCATGAAAAATATCAAGCAACAAATGCTAAATGTTTATCGCGTGCTCAACAAAAGGCCACCACTATTCAACCTGCTCCAAACCTTCAATACTACTACTACAACATTGCAGTCACCAGGAATCGTGTATGCCGATCATCCAGCTATGATACAATGATTTGAGTTATTAAGGATGTCACCCAGGTTGATGAGTTTTGAGGAGACTAAAGAGGCCAATGCGGGACCAGCAGAGTTGTTCACAGATGCTGCACATGTGGGGGGTTACATCTAGTGCGGGAGGGGCGGTGGAAGCGTCTTTCCGGCGCTGGTTCTTGTCTGCCTCGGTTTGCAGTCGGGGTAATTCGAAATTATTGACACATTATCCTGTGGTGCTTCTCCAAGCATTACAGTGTGGAGTAATCGTCTCCCAGGTGAGGGGGTCGATTTGACACTTTTTCAGGTTTGTCTTAAGACAATCCTTATAACTTTTCAATTGCCCACCTGTGTTACGTTTACTATTCGATAGGTGACTGTAAACTAGCTGCTTTAAGAACATAAGAACATAAGAAAATAAGGAGTCTGCAATAGGCCGGTTGGCCTGTGCATGGCAGCTCCTGTCGAGAGTTACTATCACTCTCTATCATCCATGAATCTATCTAGCCTCCTTTTGAAACTTTGGTAGTCTACTGTCGTCCATGTGGGTAACTTGGCCAGTCCAGCTTAGTTGTTCATGAATTATGGTAGCCTCAATGCTCCTACAGTTGGTGTCAGCAAGAATACTGGCATTTGTTCTCTTGTCTTCCCAGTGAACTCGGAGGATGGAACGTAGACTACGTTGGTGAAAGTTTTCAAGTGCCTTGAGGAGCCCCCTGTATGTGGCCCATGTCTCACTGCCATATTGCAGGGTGGGAAGGACCACTGCTCAATATGCGTGTAACTTTGTAGATAGATTTCAGCTCGCTACACCTGAACACGAGGGTACAGAGTCTGCCAAAGTCAGGAGATGCACACCTGAGCCGATGCAGAAAATATTCAACGATGTCCACGGTGGTGGACAGGTAGAAGCCGAGATACTGAAAGTGGGTAACATTAGAGAGGGTAGTACCGTTAAGCTGGATGGATGGTGGAGGTGTGGCTGAACCAGGGGCAGGCTGAAAGAGAATCTGAGTCTTACGTACATTCGCCTCAAAGCCGAAGTGTGCATACGCATCTGCATAGGTGTTCAGGATCTTCTGTAGGTGGCATTCAGTGTGACCGACAAGGGTGAGGTCGTCTGCACACTGAAGTTCACTTCATCCTTGACCACCGACGGGTCAAGACGGGTCAGACGTACCTGGCGCTGCTCAGCAGCAGCCACGTCAACTGTTATGTTGGCCCATACCAACTCCCTCCCCTGAACCCTCCTCCCCACCGGAATATCAACAAGTTCTCGCCAGAAGTTACTATTTCATTTGGGAAAGGAATGGAACCAGTGTTGAATAGTGGTGAACAGTGCTTAAGTCAGTGAAAGACAACTCGGCAGTTGAGTCTGAGCCAAGCTAACCTTCACACAGTGAGGTCCCAGGTACCCAATGATAATTCCCCTGAGACTCCACGATAGAGAGGCCTGGGACCACACCTCACCCACTTGAGTGAGTGAATTCCTGTGACAACGGACCACGTGGTGTCCCCATTATGCACGACACCGCATAGTGAATGAGTTGCTACAGCATCATGTGAAGTTCCTCATAACACCATCTGTGAGGGAATGACTACACCACGTGATGCCCCTCATAACACCATCTGTGAGGGAATTACTACACCACATCAAGCCCCTCATAACACCATCTGTGAGGGAATTACTGCACCACATCAGGCCCCTCATAACACCATCTGTGAGGGAAGTACTACACCACATCAGGCCCCTCATAACACCATCTGTGAGGGAATTACTACATCATCAGGCCCCTCATACACCATCTGTGAGGGAAGTACTACACCACATCAGGCCCCTCATAACACCATCTGTGAGGGAATTACTACATCAGCAGGCCCCTCATAACACCATCTGTGAGGGAATTACTACATCATCAGGCCCTTCGTAACACCATCTGTGAGGGATCTAGTACTCCACGCGATGCCCCTCATAATGCCATCTGTGAGGGAGTTACTACACTACGTGTCTGCTGTTCAACACCTTAGCTCACATGGTCTACGTGTGTAAACATTAATCTGTATGTTCACTGTATATGTTCCTTCACCTTTCTCTAATGAAGGCTTTCGTTAAACCACCAATGTATGTAATAAGTCATTTATGTCCAATGTATATTTTCAGCCTTCGGGCTGCAAACTTTTTCAATAAACCGTTTATTATTATTATTATTATTATTAAATGGTTGCTACTGACACCTTTGCTCCTGCCTGGAGTCATCTTATGTTGAAAAGACCCTTCATCCGATACTCGATGTCCGGCAAAATTGGCGCTGGCATGAGGAAGGAATGCAGCCAAGAAAATGGAAAAGAGAGTTGGTGCCAGTACACACCCTTGTTTAACCCCAGTTTGGATGGCAAGAACTCAGACTGGGTGCCATTGTGCAGGACACTGCCGTTCAAGCCATTGCGGAGTTGACCCACAATGGGGATGAATTTAGGTGGGCAACCAAAACGGCTGAGGGTTCACCAGAGGACTTTCCTGTTGATCGAGTCGAAGGCTCTGGTTAGGTCGTGAAAACCATGTATGGGTCATGACGCTGTTCGTCTGCACTTTCCCTGTATCTGGCGGGCAGCGAAGGGTCATATGGAGAGAGAAGTTGGCCACAATTACAGGTACCTCCTCTGCAGATGGGTCGACTAAAGTTCTCCCCACCATCACTCCATCTTTGACTCCACACTGCTCGTCAGGCTCCACCACTCCCAGACGGGTATGTAAGGCACCGTTCACCTTGCACAGCAACAGCACCTCTGATGTTGGGGGAATAACTGCTGACCGCCTAGCTGTAACCTTAGCACTGGCATGCTTCACAGTCCTCAGCGGTACCCACTTTCCTTTAATATTCAACTGTATTGAGCCAAGGTCCAGTTGAAACTTGCGAGGTAGGAGGTAGTCCAGGCCCAGCATGCAAGGGTCTTCTTTATCCACTACATAAACCTGTAGGGTTT